GAAGGAAGGAAGGAAGGAAGGAAGGAAGGAAGGAAGGAAGGAAGGAAGGAAGGAAGGAAGGATCCCAAGCTTGCAAATTCAGGCTCACCCACGGCGACTGGTAAGAGAGGTGGCCTCTGAATCAGGAGAAAGGATTGTTTCCATTCTGGGCATTTTGGCATCTGCAGTACTTTAAACAAACTTGTAATGCAAATGTGGGCCAGAATGCTGACGTGGATTAAAAAAAGTCCATCTATAAGGACTGGATATTGTCAAGCAGAACTGCACAAGCTCAAAGTTAGACTTAATCTCTGAAGTTCAAACTACTGTGGGGCCTTTGCCAAGCACACAGGATCCTTATTCCATAATAGCAGCATCTGCAAGATGAACAAATGAACCGTTTGAACACTGCAGGTTTTAACCTGTCTCCCCAAACAATTCAAGCAAGAATAATTTTATGCTTCCAAGGCAGAAACACCAATGGGTAATCTAATCATCCTTAACTCGGGTCAAAAATCCCATCTACCTTTTCATCCAGAAATATTTCTCCCTTGAAATATGGTTGAAAATCTTCCACCTCCATCCCAACATTCTCTTTCACAACAGCATAAAGTGGGACCCCCAGCTGGTCAAGCTGGGGTCTCAGAGAGGACAGCTCAGTGGCCTCCTAAAAATGAAAGGACAAGTTGAGTCAACCTTCGTCCAACCCTATTTAGCGTGAGGAGTTGCCTGTAACAGATATATTAAAATGGTTGGTTATGCAAAATCTTATGACAGTAATGTGCTACAATTATTATTATACAATGAGTATATGATGCATTTTCACGATTCCAATAATCAGAGGGAGGGAGGTCCAATGATTCATCGGTTTGAAGAGAAGCAAGACTGTATCTGTAAAGCTTCCTAGTAGAGTTTTGATTTTGGAAGAAAAATGGATAGGAAATAAATGCAAAACAGAATCAAATCTCCCTGAAATCAAACTTATTTCCTGGTGACTGCAAGGGGAGTAATACAGAAGTGATTTGCATTTCTAGTCTAGAAGTTCCACAACAGCTTTTAAAGCATATTCAGCACTAACAATGATGTGGAATGACTACTAGTCACTTTTTTTTCACAAAATGGTCCAACCACCCCCTTTGAGAACCATCTAATCTATTTGAATTTTGGTGACAAGCAGGAAAAACCTTAGTCCAGTTCACCTAGGAATAAGGAATACCTTCAAAGTTGCAACAAAGAAGGGGATGCCTTCAGAATGGTGTCAGGCTGCAGCCTGTGAGATGACATCAGAGTAGAGGCAGATAGCGTTCAGAGCCAGTCATTTTTCCTATGGGTCGAGGGCCTTCCCACAGGAAATTGCTGCCTCATCCTGCTTTAGGGATATCTGAATCAAGTCAAACATTCCAACTTGTCACAGATTTTTCTGAACTGAAGGAGATTTGGAGTGTGAGAATGTTTGCACCTTCAATTGAATTTCTTCTTCTTCTTCTCTGAAGGAATATTGGTTTGGGGGGAGCCGGGTTATGACACGTTTAGCTCCCCTTTTTAAGCTTTGTCTGTACTACCCTAAACTTTCTATATCATGCCCAAATTCCTCATCCTTTGACCAACTAGCTACCCAACTGTAGCTTTTTTTTAATCAATCCCCTCCAGTGATACAGTATTAAACCTTTTCCATTTCAAACCCATGCCAGATTGACTTTTGAAGGGATAAAGATCACCACGAGTCTCTCTTCTGCTCCTCTCAGGCATTGAGTAGACTCAAAAGCCCACCTTGGAGGCTTCTGATTTACTTCTCTGAAAGTGGTACGAAACACTCAATAGAGTGGAGACCTCATTAATACAGGCTAAGATGTGGAGGCCAAACGTCAGCCCACCTTTATCGAGCAACAGGTTTCCCCAACCCAATGCTAGGCTTGGCAAATGATTCTGGCTGAAATCCAATGAATTGCACCAAACTGGAATGGCCACTATAGGATTACGCCTATGGTGCTACAACAACTTTTGTGCAAGGCTACTTTCATCAGGTAGGAGCATCTGGCTGTTCTAATCTGGACTTGGAAGCTAAACTGGGTTAATGCTTGGATGAAAGACCACCACAAAACTCCAGGGCTGTAGGCTGATTTTAAAAAAAAAATCTTGGAAGAAGGCAATGTCCATGAATTCACAAAAAGTTGAGCACGACTCAAAAGGGATTTTACTTTGTATACCTAAGCAGAAGCTAACAAACCATAAACTGATTTTCTTTTAGCTGCCCAAACATCTCCCATAACTACTTGCAGATCCTGGGAGACACTAAGCATGCAACTTGCAAGTAAGGAAGAATTCCTGAAGAACTGGTCTAAGCTTGTCTTGACTTAGTTCTAAGATCAAGCATTTGTATTTGGGGTAAACTATTTCAGGCTGCTCCTAGGAATGCATGCTCTTAAACACATAAACAAGATTTTAAACCTTCCCCCCAGCATAGGAAAAGCAAATTGCAGGAATAAGGCTTCTGGCTTACTGTACATCTGATGGGCTATTTTTCTAGGTGGAGAAAAATATTTAGGAAAACAAAGACAAAAATAGCAAACAGAAGCCCACTTAAAATATGAAAGGATAACACCCCAACATAGGATGCTACTCTTGGGCTGCATCATTTACTTCCTTTGTGAAGGAACAGGTTTGTAAATCCCATCACCTTAGGCTAGAAATTCCTGGCCTTAGGAACCAGATTAACACTCCACTTTTTGATGACCATGACTGTGCCTCTCTTTATAAATCTGTACCAGTAACTCCTGCTAACCCAGTTCAGTCCAGTAACCCTGCTGTGTACTCTGCCTCCTATTTCCAGCTTAATAACCTGCTCTCTCTGCTAGGCTGAGGGCTCTTCTTTTTGCTTTCATGTTTTCAATTCCCTGTTCTCTACCTTTTGCTCCTAAAGAAGATTATAACCTTTTGTTCTTTGTCAGTTTACTTACTGTATGTCATTTTCTCCATTCCTCCCAGTTGTGTTTTTTTTTTAATGTAGATTTAGAGATCTTTAAAAGCTTTGTTTTTCTTTGCTCCTTTTGGTTTGCTGCCCAAAGGATTGACAGTGAAGGTACACAGGGTGTAATGGTATGCTTGAAACCAGAGAAAGATCCACGTTCTAACCAACTGAACATTCCTCCATTCTCAGTTAAGAGAACAATGTTCTCAACAATTCACAGAAGAGTTATGAATAAGAGACTGAGAAAGTGTCCACCTTAAACACTAGGAGATCAGGTGAGTTGCTGAGACTTCTGTAACCTTATTCCATCCTCTTTCAATAAGTCTTAGCAAACAAACTCTGAAAGAACCTTGCTTTCTGTGCAGGTGGGGTGGGATGGGGAGTCCAAGAACTTGGCACAGGCATTGGAGTAAATGTTTACAGGTTATGCACAGGCTGTGGTAATGAGAAGGCTCATGGTCCAAAGAGATTCAAGTTGTGCCCACTTGAAGACATGTCATTCTTTCCAGTTTCCTTCTGTTTTCCACTCATCCATAAGACTTGAATGTTTACATCTTCATGGGTTTTATCAAAAGTATGCAAGCTAGGCTATATTTTATCCAATTCGAGGTGTATTCGTTCATTCAGTCACTTACAATTTGTGACTATGGGTGGAGCACCTCAACAGAAAGATAAATACACTACAGAACTCAGGTAACTAAACCAAATCGACACTTAGCTGAGGCTGGGTATAGCAAACACTCTTGCAACAAAACTGGCCCATCTAACATCATGGTCCAATGCACGTGAGAATTTCACAGCTCTACTGAAAGCCAATGAGATATTTTATTCAACATCTCTTACATCCTCTTTCATTCTTTATTAAGCATTTCTACTAACTTGTCTTTAGAACAGAAACATGTTTCTATGTTTCTCTTTCTTCTCAACTGCTGGCACTTACCAGGAAGGAAAGGAGGGACCTACTAGCGTCTTCTCTGATTAACAGGTTCTGTTCATCAGAAACTGGAGTTTCTGTTCTTGGGTATGTTGAATGCAAATCATAGTCACTATTATTTCTAGGTCAGTCACAAGCCCTGCCATGGCATGATCACATGTGATAGAGGGGAAGGAGCTCCAACTCAGAATGGCCCTGGTTGACTTATGTTCTGTGGACAATGGCTGCTGGGGAGACATATTTTGTGTGGGCTACTCTTGGATATGTAAGCACGCCTTTGAAACTTAGAACTGTCTCCCCTAGTTTGGGGACCCTAACTGGAGGATTATCTTCTCTTGTATTATGAGCTTACATTATTAGTGATCTTATTATAAGTATCCCCTGCGCAGAGCATGAGATCATAGCATCAGTTTTGCTATATCGTTACAACAAAATAAGTGATCTGTACTGTGTATTTGTGGGTCTTGTTGGTACATTAGCATTCAGAAAACAGATGCAGCACACCAAATACCTAAGCTGGGGTTTCTGTCCAAGACAATAACTGACGGGCAGTTAACAGGACAACCTGCTCCAACTGATTCCTACAATCTGTTCTACTGGAGAATATACATTACCTCTCTGCACAAAAATCACCCAGGCCGCCTCACCGCCATGACGACAGCACCATTTGTCTTCCACAGCTCCTTGGCTTTAAATGTTCTTTGTTCTCCTTGGTATAAAGGGAAGCATAGATAAGTTAAGTAACAACTCCTTTAAGTTGTGCTCACATCCTGGTGACTTCACGGACAAGTTCACATTGGTTTTTTAGCAACAATATGGAAGTGATTTGATACTGCCTTCTGTGTGGATGTTTTCTCAACTTCCCAGTGTAGCCTATATCTCTGGGATTTTCAAGAGTCTCCCATGCAAGTTCTACCAGGTCCAACTCTGCCTAGAATTTAGGGTATCCTAAATCTTTAAGATATGATCTGGAGACAATTAATTCTATTACCATCTATCAGGCCAGTTCGATGCCTTCTAGCACAGCCATGCTATCCAGGAATTATGGTAGTTGTAATCCAATATGTTGAAGAGTACCAAGTTGAAGAAGGTCTGTGCTATTTTAGCTCCATTTACTACTTTTACATGTACTCTCTTCCTTAAGAGAGTTTTGGAAGAACATCTGAATTCTAAAGGTCCATGAATTCACGTATTCTCCAAACTGAGCCCCACCTTCTGAGTTCCCAAAGTACACAGCCACAACTGGATCTCAACAGTATAAGGAAGAATGACCTTCTGAGCAGAAAGGAAATGCTTTTTCTGAGAAATAAATCTCATCCATAAATGAAATGAAATGAAATGAAATGAAATGCTAGTCAGCTTTCCAAGTGAGGAGTGTTCCAAAGCTCTAAATCCCTCTAGTAGAATAAGATCTCAGGTTTTCTATTAGCTCTTTACCCACATCAGAAAAACTAGACTGGTCTCCCCCATGCATTTCTATAGTTTGCAATTATGAGCTCCCCTAAGTCTTACCTCGTCCCAGAGTCTTCAAATCAATCGTCTCTAGAAAGTCCAGCGAGGCCTTTTCTGCTTTAGGGAGAAACAAATCCGTATTGGCAAGGATTATCCCCGTCACAGCAGCCCCGATGGCTCCAAGTCCAAGGGTCCACATTGCTACAGAGAAGTACCCTGGATCAATGGGTAAAGACATCTCTAAAAAATTAAGGAAAGACTAATTACAACAGCAACTCAAAAGATTTAAAATGAAAAAGGAAGAAAATGATCTAATTTCATCAAGAACAATAGTGCAATGGTAAGGTAAGGTAAGTTTCTGCTGAGTCAAGCTCAGCTCCTAGTGACTACAGAGACATGTCCATGATGTTTTCTCAACAACAGTATTATTCACTTGATAGTCAAATAATTCCTCCTTGCTTGGCTGCAAAAACTGAAAACATTTTCAGAAGAAGAAATGGCTACTGGTCCTGGCTGCCAAATTACTCAAGCTAGTGCTCACACATGTCCAAGCCCCTGCATTTCTAATACATTGCAAGTAATGTTCTGGAGTTACCAGAATATGGGTAATTGACTCCTGGCCAGGAAGAATTTACCAAATGGACATACACTAGAGTAAACAGGAAGGATTGTAAATCAGAAAGGCAGCTGGACTTTCAGTAACACATCTGACTCTAGCAGGGAATGGAATTTCATCCAGGATGGATGGCCACCATTGCTTGGGGCATTCTACCATCCATTCTGCCCTATTAGTGGTAGTGTAGAGAACCCTCAAGTGATCCCAAGCACAGAAGAAGCACATTCAAGGCATCTCCTTAAGACAGGGCTTCTGAATCAGAACTGCTGTTGAAAGTAATCACTTTTGTGAGAAATCCTCCTTCTGGTTTCCAACAAAGTAAACTCTCCTCTCCAGCAACATAGTTTCTAGAGGGGGAACTGAGTCAGAAGTTGTTTCAAGCTAGATCTTGGAAGCTGTCAAGGTCTTCTTGGGGTAATCTTCCAAAGCAAGACTTGTTGCACAATGTTGCGAACCACCAGTTGGGAAGCAAGAGTCATCTCGGATGTTTACATAGTGGATTCCATGTACACACTCACACAGAGCTGATGGGCTTAATCTATATGTATACACACATGGAGAAAAACAAAGATAGCTTAAAGCAATAGCAATCCTCTTATCCTAGGATGGTGGCGAAAGAGAGCTGATTTCAGAATAGAATTTTTAAAGAAAGGGACAATTTTGGAGCCATGATATACAACATAACCAAATCCACACAACATCAGCATTGCCAAATACTAGGTACTGGACGGAGACTCATCATCCCCAGCCAGTAACAGCCTACGCGCTGTTCCCACGGAGTGGCACTCCATGCAAAGTACCGCACTGGAGATAATGCTGATGAAGACATGTGATTCAATGCCCTGCTTGCATGAGCTTGTGCTTGAGAGCGTTAAGGAAGTGACGGCAAGAAAGCCCAACAATGCTAAACATTATTTATTTATTTATTTATTTATTTATTTATTTATTTTCTATTTATTTATTGGATTTCTCTCCCGCCCATCTCCCCTACAATAGGGGACTCATTAGCCACCTGAACTCACTGCCAGCCAGTGCTACCCATCAGTGATGACTGGGATCCTGGGGAACATCAAGACCTAAATGAAGACTCAGCAAATGACAGCCCTACTTTAAACCAGACCTAACCCATGCCTACTGGGTTCTTAAGAGGTAGCCCATAAATGCAAACGGAGGAAACAGAGGCACCAGTGATGATGCCTACTGGCAAGTCAACGAAGGATGAGCCTGGGAAGAACAAAAACTTTAACTACAACCTTAGTTTTGTCACCTACGATTAAGTCCAGCAAACTCATTATTACTGCTTATGACTTAATACAAGATAATAATGATTTTTTAAAGTTATATGCTGCCTGACTCCCAGCAACCCTGTTTCTCTTACCATCGTTTGTACAATGCCATTCTAGCCAAACTAGTATCTGTGAAGCTATGCCTTTTTAAGGAAGTCCATGGCTCAAATTGTGTGCTCACAATTGGTTAATATACAAATAATATTCTGTTTTAACCAATCTCCTCCAATTTAGGGCTGTCCGGATGTTCAGTTCCTGCATTCTTTGAATCTAATCTACTTACTTCACAATTCAGTTTTATGTCCTTTGCTTAGATCTTAGTTTCTGCCTACCATGTACTTAAAAAAATTAAAAACCCCGAACCATCCAGCATTTCCTTCCCAGTTTTTCTGACAGCATATATTCCCATGTCAAATATCTGTGAGAGTGTTTAAACTAAACAAGTTTTTTTACAGATTTGTTCATCTCTTAATAGTGTGTAATCATGCATGTGTGATAGGAGTACAAAGACTGTCACTGCAAAATTGCTTTCGTTCTGACCAACATTAGCACCAAGCATGGATCAATCAATGTTCATAGATGCTATCTGTAAAGAGAATGATGCCACAGCCCCCAGCCCCAACCCTCTTTCCAATGTCTTACAGCTGCCACACAAGTACACAACTAAGAGGAAGATGTCTTGACATCCACCACATTCAACACAGTGAGCGTGTCTTATACTGTCTCCAGAACTGGCAAATGGGAGAAAAGAAGCGACAAGAGAAAAGTCAAGCTCAATTGCTGGTGACCTGTCCATGAAATTTTCTTGACAAGAGCACCAAAGTAGGTTCCACAGTGGAGAACATACGTAGCCCAAGATTGAATTATTGTGTCCTTGGTATTCTGAGTTTGCTTCTGCTTATGTCACCTAACCTGGTAATGAAACATCTGCAGGAAGAGAAGCAGGCACAGAGAACACCAAGAACCCAGTATCAAAGTAGTTTGCTATACCCTTTTTCTGAGATGTTTTCTGGATTCCCCAGTCTAGCCTGGTGCCTAGAGATTCCTTGCAGTCTTCCATCCAAGTATTATTAGGTTGAACCTTGCTTCATTTTTTTCTTTTTTTGAGATCAGCCAAGGTTGGCTAGGTGTTGCCATCTACCAGATTATAGGAATCAACAGGCTGAGCTTGGATAAACCAGCTTAGTCTATCTTTATAGCCATGTTCCAGAGCATCTTCTATTCAGCTGCTGCAGGTGTTAAACCTTCCCACCTTAAGCCTTAAGACCACGCTAGAGCAGAAGGTGCATTACATCAAAAACATAAACTCTAGCTATAATCAACTTGCCCTGCAAAAAGTAGCATTACTTCTCTCCCTATAATTTCCCTAACTTGCTTGCAGGGCAGAGAATCCCTGTGCTGTTATCCCTTTGACTCAAAGCGAATAAAGGAATCCAAATAAAATATGAACCACTTACATCAAATTAAAGTATTGCATTTATAATTATAACCCACCTTTTCTTAACAGTAAGCAAAATAAACAAGCAGCAACAGCTCCACACACCATATCCCATCGCCTCTGTTCTATTGCATTATATGCTGCTGCAGTGTTAAGGTTTTGGCTTGGCTGAAATGCTTTGCTTTTTTTAAACTTGTATTTAATTAATTCAATTTCATAAAGCCCTTGTGTTTTACATGACAAACAGCCAACATTCATTTTAAGTAGCTGTATTAAAACTCAGCCAAGCACCCTATTGATGAATGAAGCATGCAACATTCATACAGTTTGGGGCAAGAGGGAGTTAACTCCACCAAATCATTTTTTCCTTTATTATGAAACACAACAAGCATGCAACAACAGAGAATACACTGGAGGAGACTGTGACAGCCTTCTGAGGCTGGCTTTAACTCCAAATATATTACAGGAGTAAGAGAAGACACTTACCAGCACTCACATGGATGCTAAATGCACAGGCTTGAACATCTGAAGCCCTTCTAGTTCAGGAGAAGTCAAAAGCTATCTGGGCAAGCAGAGGGCAGGTCCTGAATGAAAAGCCTCATGCAAACAGGGCGATGGAAATCACCCTAAGACAAAACATGGGCAGGAACAGGCTGGTTGCCAGCCAGAACAAGCTTGGCATTCTCTCAAGTGAATTGCTCCAAACAATCTTACTGAACACATCTTGTGTTGAAATAGGGGAGATCATTAGAAAATTGTTCAAAGGACACATTTCCCTAGGGATAGTGTGTATGCGTGTGGGGCTATCAGGAGTGATCTGAATCACCCACAATCCACAGGTGTGTAAGAAGTTGTCACACTTAGGCTGACAAATGTTGGCCATTAAAATAATTCCTAGCCTGCCTGATTACATATGTTTCTTGACATCAAAGAAGAAGTTCAAATCTAATCACACTTGCTGGATTATCTGAAAGCAATCCTTATTCACCAAAAAACCCCAAACAAGCAAGCATTGGCAAACTGGCAGTTTAAATAACTAAGTGCTGAGAAGTTACAAGCATTTCTTTAACTAGAATTACTCAGAGGAAAACCAATCGCATTTAAGGCAGGGAGAGAAAGTGTTGATAGTAGACTTGATGTTGAAAGACAGGGCACCCTTTAGCGACTCATTAAAAAAAACCCAAATATCCAAATCATATTATACTTAAACTAGCCACTAATATTTAAGAAAAGGTGTCTTTCAGTTCCTAAGCCAGAATTGTTATCAACACACATGGTAAAAAGGGAGTTCCTGGTGGCTTCATGGGCCTTGTAGTTCTCTTAGCAACAGCATGGAAATGCTTTGGCGCTGCCTTCTTCTAAGATTTCCTTTTTCTTTCTGCTTCCCAACCTACTTCACAGGAATCTCTTCTTGTCTCCCTTCAAGCACTCCACATATAACCCTTCTTAGATTTTCCAGGTCAGCCAAAGTTGGCCATGTGTTGTCAAGGAGTACTTAAAAACTCAACTCCGCATCAATGTAGAGAAACTAATACTAGTGCTAATGGTCAGACAAACCGTTCTTCTGATTTTGGCTGAACTGTTTGGAGGCTTTCAATGTTTAGAATGGTGGACTACGTAATGTTTGAACACACCTCTAGAGAGCTTTATTTCTTTAAATCAACTTTCCCAATCCACACTTTCCAGCTCAGCGGGACTCCAATTCCCATAATCCCTAGGCAGCAACACTGATAACTACATGGCTTGGGATGGGGGAGGCTGATTTAAACAACTGTGCATTTGTGTACTGTTTACTGATTGTGGTGACCCTGGGCATAAATGCATCTGCATATACTCAAGATTTAACTGCTATTCTTACTAGCAACGTTCTAGCAGGAATGTTGGCATTATTGCAAATCTTTTATGAAGACTATACTGCTGAATTTAACAGATGCTGAAAACTTTCTCCGCATTAGTTCTCAGCCTGATTTTATTTGATGAAGGAAAAGCTCTAGGTTTCCTAGAATGGCCTTTTGCAACTGAATCACATATAGTTTAATGTTTATTTGGGGACTATTATACCATGGCTTTAAAGCAGTGTGGATAAAAATCACCTTTTTTAAAAAACAACAAATACATTTTTTTTCTTATTTACATCATTATTTTTCAGTTAAGTCCGTTCTGAAAGCAGTTCTTCAAATACTTTGTGAAGAAGGAACGCAGTTCAAAGATGTAATTATGAAGATACCTTCTAATTCTACTCCATTCTGTTGCTAATATGGACATGAGAGAGAAGTTAACAGTGACATACCAGACCTCTCGAAAAATGGAATGACAAGGAGCAAACAAACAAGGTTTGTTTCTTAGTACAATTTAAAAGCTGCTGGTGGTGGTTCCTTTAGAGCATCGTGGCAAAAATATATTCCATGGATCCCGAAACAACTAACTCAACTAAAACTCAGCTCTCAGCTCTTAATGACTTCACAATTATCTGCCTGCTACAGAGAATATTGTTGGAGGAACATTAATCTGTAAAAAACAATATGACTGAACCCTCC